CGGCAGACACGTGACACGTTACGACGGGGGGGGTGGGGGCAGGTGTCACACAGGGGGGACGGGGAAAACACACCAGTAGCAGTTTATCAGTCACTACCCACAAAAACGATCATTTTTAACAGCCTTAATTAATTTAACAGCTTCTCCAAAATAAACAGGGGGAGAGAAAGAGCAACATTGGGCCGTTTCGAGCCCTGGCCAGACAGGCAGTGCTGGCCGGCTGCAGTGCTGCTCCCCCTACTTGTTATTTATCCACATCTTAAAGCTACTCGCTCTGACTTCTAAAATTTGGTATTCAATGCCCCCCGACAGCTCCGGCCCAGCGGGATGCTGGAGCAGCCGAGTGAGACCGACCCAAATTCCTCTTCCAGCGGGACTCTGGAAGCTAGAGTGACGTCAGCAGGACCGCCTCGAGATGCGGCCGCCCGGTGCTGCTCGCCCTCTCGACTGGTCAGCCGATGCGGGACTTAACACACACCCCGAGCCAACTCCTACATTAGCATATTATCTGAATGTAGAAATAGTCACTTGGTCACGCATCCAGCGGAAAAAAAAAAGTTTATTTAGGTTATTTACATTTGAAGACAGTAAAAGCTCTGTAAGCAGAATAGGTAACCAGAAGAAGAATTTGGGAGTAAGATCTTAAGAGATATTTGCGTAACTAGAGTCCCATTTCATGCAGGAAATAAACTTTTAAAATACGATAAAAAGTTAGGAGACTGAAGGATGAAAAAATGTCATTTTCAAAGTAAACAGCGATAAAATACCTGGAGCCAGACACCTCATAAATGAAAGGAGATGCCACAGATCATTTTACCCAACCAAGACAGGCGAGGAGACCCTCTTTCTGATACACTGAGTTCTGTGTCGGATCAGCAGGAAGCCATCACACCGGACAGCGCAGAGCGACCCCGGCTGCGTGGCCCTGCACTGGCGGGCCGTACCTGCGAGGTGGCCGGCCTCCACACCTCCGCCTGGGCTGTTAGTTTGCCAGCAGATACAGAGACACCCCCAGATGCCATTACACACAAAACGAGCCCCTGGCACGTAATGGTCTGGATGCGGGATCCCACAAGCATAATGCACATGCACGCAAGTAAAAGGTACGTGCAAATAAAGTCCGGAGCCTCCCTGCAAGCGCGTGCGGCGGACACGCGCCCCGGCTGCCCCGCAGAAGTAAACAGTCTCTACATTTATTTATCTAACGCCGAAAATGCCCCTGTAAACACAGTGATCAGCTGGCAGGGGAGACATTAAGCCGGTGGCGGCGAGTGGGACGCGGAAAATGAACCTGCGTCACATTCACCCAGATCAGAACCGAGATTTCAGACCGCCGGCCCACACGGCACCTACCTCGCATATCCCTGCTTAAGAAGGAAAAAGAGGCCGAAAGATGCGACTATCCATGTTAAGGGGGTCTGGTTATAGTTAAATGCGATCAGAAACGGAGCGACGCGCCGCCGCCGGGATCCGGGTGACCATTTACCAATCAGCTCTCATAGCCTCGCTTTGACTCGCACTAAATCCTCTTCCGAGATTTTAAAATAAAGATCAATCCGGCAGAGAGTATCCGGACCTGGAGATCCACTTGGTCCGTCGCTGGGTTAAGTGGCAGAGTCCAGGCAAACACGATGGTGTGTATTGTGAGCTCTGCGGGCTGCCGTAATTGCAGCTAGCAGTGTATTGTGGGAAGTTGAGTGCGAAGGGCGGCTAGGCGATACCCACGCATCTGCTGCTGAAGAATGCACTACGCTGGTCCCGCAAACCCTTACCCAGCTCAGATCTTACGTAGGCTGGATTCACATTCTCATACCATTTAAGAAAAACACATACGCTAAAATATACTAGTATTACGTATTAAAGAATACACTAAATAAATGATAATAGAAAGTTCATTTACTCAAGGAGTACGTCGTCTTTTGGTGTTGGCGATTTCGTGAACTCTGTGTATCGCCAATATTTTATTTTAGCGTAGCCCTGATTTACTTAAAGTCTGTTTTACGTAAGTCGAGAGCTGCCTGCATATAGACATAAGGACCCAAGGCGGAGGACAGGCAGTTTCTTCGCTATAGGCTCGGTTATCTCGTTGCAGGTCGCCCACGTTGCTTGTCGTGTTATCGCGGCTCGGAAAGCCCAGCGAGGTCCAGCTGAGAATAAAACCTCACATTTTCTCCGGACACCCCGGGGGCAGCGCGGCTTCCGGCCCCCTCCTGTGCTCCGTCACTCAGGGTTATTCACAAAACATCTGCCGTCACACACCAAAAGTGGCCTGCAGCCTTTATTTTAATACCCCCTGAGAAACCCAATCCGTAATAAAATATATTAACATACTATCGCTGTATGGCTGCTCACCATTCTCTCCGGATAACGGAGAAAGATAAACATTTATTTTGTGTTTTCCAGTTTGGTACTTGGCTGCTGCGCTGATGCCTGATGGCATTCCGCCATTAGAAACTAGTGTTCGGGAAAACATGCCCTGACAGCAACAAAGGGAAACGCAATTACAGTTCCGCCCACATTTCTGCTCAGGGCGACTATTACATACGGCGGATGCACGCCGCCCTCCTGCTTTCATTAAACTGAAACAAATTAGCCCCGGGTACAGAATTATTGCCGATTGCACTTTATTTTGTGCTGAACTGTCAATCGACATAGACGTTGATATAAACTGTACCGATTGAACTGGCCGGCTAATCAGGTATTGGATAAACGGCTGGAAGGTGAATGCATAGCCTACTGTACATGGATGGAGGAAATGAATTGTGTTGGGAAAGCTTAAATTTAAATGACCAAATGTAAACATGTGTGCATTTCACTACTCTGCATAGCAATATGCAAACTCTAGTGTACTGGACACAGAAATTTAATATCGTCTCCAGGCATCTGAAAACAGCTTTCATTTTCATTAGCCACATACTACACAGCAAATAAACTGGAATCACTGTTATAATTTTTATCGTTGTATTTGATCTATAATGTAGCATATAGGCTATTAATGTTTAGCCGTTTGATTCTTAGATAACACAATCAACATATGTTTACAAATATCATACACTGTACGATTAAATAAGTAACGGGAGTATCTGCAATAACATTCCGCTCTCTCTCAAAATTGAAGTGTTCCCATAACACTATTGCATAGTGACTGTATACATGTGCATTTCGTCTTGGTGCCACCTGGTGGTGAAAATGTTAATTGCCTACACTTCACGGGCAGAGGAACAAAGATTAACCCGGAGAATTGTTTTTCTCCCAGGGCCGCTTAGGTGCGATAGAACAAAATAAGTCAGCCCACCAGATCTTACAGTATTACTTGAATTTGGTCATTTTAAGCAACATTAAATATATGTAAAATAATCTTGTGAAACTTGAATTTTATGTGTCTTCTGCTTACATTTTTTTTTGTTTGAGGATATTGAGAATGGTTTTGTGACTGAAATAATACAAAGCGGTACAAAAACGACTTAAAGTACTGTATCTCCGAACATTACATTAATATCAACACGCTGGAAATACAGGTAATTATAAATCACGACTATATTATTTAATGAAATCGTCATTTAAAATAACCTCTATAGGTTACAAATTGCATTTAGCCTATTTGCAGGTAGATAAATGTAAAACGTAAATATTTTACGGACATAAACTGACATACATAATGCATACCTATCGTATTAATCAGTCTGCTGTTAGCAAAACATTGCAAAACTATATTACTGAATATTTAGAGCTTACATTTTTAAATGAAGGGTATCAGCGCAGATTTAATCCCTAATAGCTAAACTACTTAATTTCCTCAGGTATGTTTGTGAGTGTGTGTGTATGTATGTACAAGGAAGGGGACACCAGACACCCTGGGCAGGATACCAATCCCTTGCTGGGCTGCTCATACACACACTCACGCTGGACAACTTATAGACAGCCGTGCAATATGCAGAGTAGAAGCAAAGAGCGCAGTCCCAGCAAATGTGGGCATTGAATCCCTAATGCTGCAGGAGTGATGACATTGCGCAGCCCTGGCAGATGTGGGCTTTGAATCTGTAATGTTGCAGGAATTATGACATTGCGCAGCCCCAGCAGATGTGGGCTTTGAATCCCTAATGTTCCAGGAGTGATGACGTTGTGCAGCCCCGGCAGATGTGGGGTTTGAATCGCTAATGGTGCAGGAGTGATGGCATTGCGCAGCCCCGGCAGATGTGGGCTATGAATCTGTAATGTTGCAGGAGTGATGACATTGCGCAGCCCCAGCAGATGTGGGCTTTGAATCCATAATGTTGCAAAAGTGATGACATTGTGCAGCCCCGGCAAATGTGGGCTTTGAATCCATAATGTTGCAGGAGTGATGACGTTGCGCAGCCCCGGCAGATGTGGGCATTGAATCCCCTAATGCTGTAAGACCGATTTTGCGCAGCCCCAGCAGATGTGGGCTTTGAATCTGTAATGTTGCAGGAGTGATGACATTGCGCAGCCCCGGAAGATGTGGGCTTTGAATCCCTAATGCTGTAAGACCGATGTTGCGCAGCCCAGGTAGATATGGGCTTTGAATCCCTGATTTTGCAGGACTGATGGCGTTGCGCAGCCCCAGCAGATTTGGGCTTTGAATCCCTAATTTTGCAGGACTGTTGGTGTTGCGCAGCCCCGGCAGATTTGGGCTTTGAATCCCTAATGCTATAGGACTGATGACATTGCGCAGCCCCGGCAGATGTGGGCTTTGAATCCCTAATTTTACAGGACTGATGACATTGCGCAGCCCCAGCAGATGTGGGCTTTGAATCCCTAATTTTACAGGACTGATGACATTGCGCAGCCCCAGCAGATGTGGGCTTTGAATCCCTAATTTTGCAGGACTGTTGGCGTTGCGCAGCCCCGGCAGATGTGGGCTTTGAATCCCTAACTTTGCAGGACTGTTGGCGTTGCGCAGCTCGCTCACAGAGCCGGCTTGTTCACGTTACTCAGAATAGCATAAAAGTCCAAATTTAACACAAACAATTGACGCTTTGTTCCTAGCAAGGCTTTTTAATGCTGTTACTTTATACCAAACCACATTAAATACTCCAAATAAGGCTTGACATACTTTGTAAACTCTTAAAAAAAATAAATTACAAAGACAGTCATCTTTTAAAGAGACAGTGATCCCCTTTTAAAGGTTAGTATTACAACAAGACTCGATTCTGCAGCCTTCCTAATTAAAAAAAGTCTGCCATATCTCTTTCTTTAAGAATGTCTATAATATTCCTCTTTTATTTTAGCTAATTACATGTCCATCTTTCCTAATGTTAGTCATTTTATACACTGTAAAAGACTGTGACAAACATAACTATATGACCGAAGGCCAACTGAATATTATGTAGAAATTCCTCTGCATTTTTATCCTTTTCCCCACCTTAAGAAAGTTTTTAAAAAGTTTCCCATAGAGTATATATTGATATATAATATCTCCACAATTGTCTACAGTTAGGTTTGTACAGATTCTTGTATAATTGTCATGCTTCCATGGAGATAAAGTACACAAGCAATAGGTGTCATAAAAATATACAGAGTAAATTATAGATCATATATTAAGTGAATCACTCTTGTCGGTGACCTCTGATCTCATCACTGCATACCAAAGTAAAAATGTACATAAAACTTCTCAGAATTTATGATTTCGATGGCAAACTCAAAAGAATTGTACTGTATTTCAATGCAAACTCCACATATCTCTTTATTTACATTTAAAGGTGTGGATATATAGCTAGTGGATTAAGTTTGGGTGTAATTTACAGGAAGGCGTAGGAATATAGGAAAGGTAAGGTGTTTGCAGCAGAAGTGGCTTGAACTTCATACTTTTCACCAGTGTAAAAAATAGGGTAAAACGGGAACACTGTCTCCTTATCAGGCTCCCCTGAAGGAGAGCGTGACACCAGGCAAACCTGCAATCAAAGGACAATGCCATCGCTTCCCAGCTAAGGAGTGCCGCTCACTGCGACATTAAAGGGGGACAGGATATTTGAAAACGCAAACCAAAAAACAGAAGGAAAGAAAAGCTTACATTTTGCCGAACAGCATTTAGCAGGAGAAATACTGCAGACATACAGCGTGTCATTACAGGATCTGCTGCATACAGTGATTGTATGATACATGAACTCATGCATAGAGTACATGTGTGCCATTACATGTGCTATTGCATACAGTACACGTGTGCCATTACATGTGATGAGTGTACATTAGGGTTAGAGGTCATGCATTGGTACATTTTCCTCAAAAACCGTTTCCACTTGTCCCTTGTTATTGAAGAACACACGGATGGCGGTTGTCAGCCTCGAAAATATACTCATAAAATCTGCAGCACATTGTGACTGAGATGAATCATCTGCTTAGGCTGCTGCTGTCAGAACTCTCTTTAATGATCCGGAACCTGATCCGTGGCGGCAAGCAGTGGATGGGTGATGGAGGTGAATCCCCCCAGATCCCTCTGCATCGGGGACAGGAATGCTGGGATAGACACTGGCATGACTGTGACCTACACACTGGCATGACTGTGACCTACACACTGGCATGACTGTGACCTACACCCAGACCCTCCCATCTGTCTGACAGCTGAAGCCTTTGAAGGAATCGGCCTTATTGTTGGGGCAGAGTTTGGTCCCATTGTAGTGTGGGTGTCTCAGTGTCTCGGCACAGACCACAGCCAAAGCAGACCTATCCTGCATTTTTGGTTTAGTATCTGTTCCGCTAGTTTCGGCTTCTTGTAAACATTAAAAAACCTTTCCAAGCTTTTGCATTAAAACATTTGCAACATAAGGTGTCAGAAAGTCATTTAAAAAAGTACATATGATTACTATGGTAAAAATGTGGTACCAAAAGCACCCTCGTTGTGGTTTTCTCTCTGTATGGTATTTTCTACATTTGAGGACCGTGAGTGAGGCAATTTGTCTGACTGTGACTCGTCAATGGATCCCAAGAGGAGACAATGAGTGTACTAGCGGAACATAGATTTCGACGTTATTGTTTTTTTAATAACCTTGTCTTCATTCATTTGCTAAGAATTCCAGCGGAAGAATTTTGCTGTTTAAATGGACATTGTTTAGTGACAACAAAGAATAGCCAGTTATAGGTGTCCGTAAAGGTGCCTGAAGTAAAAAATGAACATTTCCTCTTTTACTACAATATTATATAGTGTATCAGTATTAGCCAGTGCTGTCAGTGACGCATGCCTAAAATATGCCTACAAGCCATGGTTTTAGTGAAGATTTCATGAGTGATGACTAAGACTGCCATGCCACTCTGTGGGTGGCCAGTAGGTGGCAGTCCAGGTTTGTTACATTCCTGCAGTGTAGTGATATCCCCAAAGATTGTACCCAAGCACCTTTAAGCACTGCTGGAGCCCAGTATTTACTTACTCTCCATCTAGAGGAGAAAAACGATTCCTTTTTAATGGTTCGTCAAATTATCAAATTGATCTTTCAGATGCTTATCCTGGTCAGGCTCACAGGAGGTCTGGCGCTAATCGCAGCTGTAGCCCGCATCCCAGGCAGGACGGGTGCCCATAACATGGCACACACAATGTCACATGTCACACAATGTCACACACTAGGGGCAGTTTAGACATGAGAACATGCAGACTCCACAAAGGGTAAAGCTGGGAATCAGATCTCCAACAACGCAGGGGTGAGGCAACAGTGCCAGCCATCGAAGCAGCACACCGCTCATGAGAACCAGCACGCTGCCCACGAGAACCAGCACACCGCTCATGAGAACCAGCACGCTGCCCACGAGAACCAGCACACCGCTCATGAGAACCAGCACACCGCTCATGAGAACCAGTACGCCGCTTATGAATAAAGTGTATTGAGGAAAATACTTATTAATCACAGGTGGGGATTTGTCAGCGTTAAGTACACTGCTGTATTGTGGATTTAGAGATGGGACACTAGGTGATACCAGCACTGATAAGGTCACCTTCATCACTGCAGTCATTACTGTTCCGGTTCAGTATGTGTGCCATTAAATGACCCCCCAAAACACAGGCAGGTGGTTGATGGATGTTTGCATGGAAATGACGTTCTCAGAACCTCACTGAAGGTCTCAGGTGCCCCTGAGCGAGGCTAAGTTCTTGAAGGCAGGGTTCCCTGCTGTGTACATGTGCCTTTCTCAGTCAGGTGCATCGTCCAGGAGGCCGGAGAAGGTCCAGCGGGGAACTGGACTGAACGGAAACCTGTAGGACATGGAGTGACAAACCGACCCGACCTGGACCGGATCAGTCCATTATTATGTGTACCTGGCAATATGTGGAAATGGGAAATGTTACGGTACGTTTCATGGACTTTCCGGGAACCTTTCTGACTTCAGATGACTCTCCATCACCGACGAATTTGGGAGAAGAACGTTTAAGCTGTGCCTGGTCAAATAAAAATGGCAGCCGGCGAGGCCGTGTTAGTCGGCTCTCACTGAGTGACACGGAACCCGCTCTTTTGTTTGCACGGGGAGGATTCGCTGTGGAACCCGCTCTTGTGTTTGGACGGTGAGGATTCACCGCCCATGCTGAAGCAAAGTGGCTGCACCCCACCGGCACCCTGGATGAAGCCCCTTGATGAGGTGCCACCATGTATCCCACCACCAGCACAACAGACTCACGGAACGCTCGCTTCCAGAACATTCCAGTTTACTAAGACAAAAAGAACAAACTCATCATGTTCCAACCTCGCAGTGAGCCTTCGAACATAGAAAATGTACATGTCATTTGGACAGAAATACATGACAACTAAAATATCAAATAATCCTTGGAAACCGAAAGAACAGAACAAAAGAAAATAAGAGAGAAGCTGTGTCGGAGTCCTGCCTGTGGTACGCACGCACAGAACATACAGGCTAACATCACTGCTTATACTTGCACTGTTAGATTATTTACACAGGGGATTTGGCATACGTGGTCATATCATTGTGTGTGGGGTCTGTTTGGAGTCTGAGGATGGGCGATGTCCCCCGACAGCCACATCTGAGGGAGCAGGGGTGGATCAGTCCTGCAGAAAGTACCGGAAACGATGCTTCTGCATGAAATGTCGCTGAAATACTGACAGGACTCCTCAAGCTCCAAACACAATACGTTATGGACAAAGCAGTCACTGTATACACTTCCTCCGCTGGGACTTCTCCTCCTCACCCATTTCCGGCTTGACCTGATTCTCAAAAAGCACTGGGATTAATGTGCCCCCCCTGCCCGCCCCTCCCCCGGGTTAGATGAACCACTCCTTCTTGCTCTCGTCAATGGTCTCGGTGAAATTGGGGTCGTTGACGATGATGGCGGCGTCGGCATTGTCCGCTGACTCCGCCCCCTTGGCCTCGTTGGTGTGGTAGGTGCCCTTGTGGCGGAACATGTGGCGGATCAGGAACACCAGCGTGCAGAGGATGGTGAAAATCACCACGGCGATGATGCCTGGTTAAAGGGACGGCGATAAGCACTTCAGCAAGGATGCTGATGAAGTCCAGCGCAAACGGGCGGCTCTAACTAAAGGCAAATCTACTACTCAAATCATCTTGCATGCTGTCATTCATAAATCGATTCAGCTTTAGATTCTCCATGTGAATAAATGTAGATTTGAGCAGAGTACCCTCGAACCTGTGACCTTTTGGGGTCACAAGATACCCTCGAACCTGTGACCCTGACACGGGGCCCAAGATACTCACCCCCGATGATGGCGGAGTTCCTGTTGACGCCATCGGGTACGACCCTCTCCTCGTTGAAGGGGAAGTCGCCACGGGCTAGGGACAGAAAAACACCATTTAGGTTCTGCTGACTGAAGACGTGCTCCACAGCTGTCTGCTCCACAGCTGTCTGCTCCCACAGAGCCTGATAATTAACAGCAAACTGCTACTCGTCTCCATACAGACTGCAGCCCTTCCAATCTCCTCAGTGATAAAACTCATGTTCTCCAGAAATACGATTTGGCACGACTGTAAGGGGAGCTTCTTTGGGACGATGGCTGCTAATGTCACAGGTGTCAGTGAAGATGCCCAATCATACAGCCCGGGCAAGAAAAATGTATAATAATTCCGAAATGAAATGATTAAAAGAACCCTCATTATGTTATCACACCCTAATGCCTAGCAGGACATAGTCTGCCTCAGAAAGGAGAAGGGCCCTTGGCTGCTTCAGGGCAAGGTGGGATGGGAGGAGGGCGGGACGGGAGGAGGGCGGGGCATATGGGGCCGGATGGGGTGGGGCATGTGGGACAGGGCAGGGAGGGTTAGGATGGAGGGTTAGGGTTTGGCTCCCTGGCCTCCAGCATTGCTTTACGGGCTGCATCCGCCATGCCAGTGCAGTCTGCTTCCCCTTCGCACTGGAGACTCCCTCGTCATTTGGTGATCATGTGACACCATCATCACTGCAGGTGAAGGGGCAGTAGGGCAGTCAGCGTGTCAGAGCTGCAGAAACACGTAACGTGTGAGATTCAGCCTCAGGGAGTGGAAGGCCCAGCTCTCCTGGGGTTCTGAGTGTGATGCGGCTTAAATCCCACGTCAAATGGCAGCTCCCCCCACCCCCCAGGCTCTCTAACCTCTGCGCCCCCCAGTGGCCGCACCTGGCTGCTTCTCCTCCTCTATCACTCATCTCCCCACTGGGCCTACATTCACCCAAACTGCGCTCCTCCCCTTGCACTGCAGGCCCCAGCCTTGAACACTGTGAGATCCCAAACACACTGCAGACTGAACACTGTGAGATCCCAAACACACTGCAGACTGAACACTGTGAGATCCCAAACACACTGCAGACTGAACACTGTGAGATCCCAAACACACTGCAGACTGAACACTGTGAGATCCCGTCTGCAAGCAGCCGCCAAGAGGCTCCCGACTGTCAGCAGTGGCGAGATGAACATCAGTTGTTTCTGCACCTAAAACATGTATCAAGGGCAATACACCCGAGTGGCTGTAATCTCTGGGTTATTCACCGAGAATAAATAGTACATTTAGAAGGTAACATGCAAGCAATTTATGTTATACATTTCTGCAAAAATGCAGTTTGGTTTTAGTTGGAAAAATATTGCGTATCAGGAAGTAGGCAGCTGCAGAGCACGACTGACGGCAGCTGCAGATGAGCCTCACGAGTGCAGGGCTCACTGCTCCGGGAAACTGTGACACAGGCTGCAGTAATTAGGCAATAAATCACTAACGAGGTTTCAAGCACAACATATGGATGCTTTACACAGGCTGTACACCAAAGATGATTAATCTGTCATTCCCGATAAACAGAATTAAACAGTATGTTTTTATTTGAAGACATATTTACTTCTCTTATTTTTCCTCTTTCATGAATACAGGGCAGGTGACCATGGAAGGGAGGGGGGGGGCACGATCGCTGCCTCTCTGTCCCTTTTTCCAAAGAGAGAGAGAGAGAGAGAGCGCCCCCTAACTTGCCCGACCTGAGCTGCAGCACTAACGCATTCACCCCCCCCCCCCCGACCCCAAGGGCTCTTCCCTTGTTTTGCTGCCCTGTCTCACACGGCTTTATTCACCAGAGAGGAATCTTCACAAACGACCTGGATGATGACGATGATGATGATGCCTATATAAGAGGCGGGTTCATCAGCTCTTCAGGTGGTATCAGCACAGACAGCCAATCAGACGGCCCGGTGAGCTCATGGCTGATCAGGTGCTTCAACAACATGGCGGGGTAGGGCGTGGGTGCAGGTGCGGGTGTAGGCAGGGTGCAGGAAGGGCGTGTGGGTACACAGAGTGTGGGCACGGTGCGGGGGGAGCGGCTGTCATGCCTACCTGAGTCCAGGTGCCAGGGGTCGGTGGCGGCCGACATGGGCGAGATGGTCAGGGGCGTGGCCCCGCAGTTGGACTCCACCAGCTTCCCTTGGACGGAGACGGGGGCTGCGACCCGCGACCTCAGCGCCAGCTTTAGGGGGGCGACACCGTTGAACTGCACCCGCGAGAGACAGCCCACAAAGCCCGGCGTGTTGTACTTCTCGATGAGCACTGGGTCGATCTGGCCGGTCTCTGTGTGAAGGACAGGGGAGCAGGAGAGGGGCTCAGCGGCTACATCTGCACATCCAGCTGAGCACGGCCTGCTCCGACTCCCACAAAATGGGAGGGCACTGCCACGCTGACCGGCCAATCAGCACCTGTCCTCTATCATACGCTCCAATCTGGGCAATCACAGGACGAGATGAATCCCAGACATCCAACTAAACCACAGGTGGGAGGGGCCTGAGGCTGTAGTTGAGGAACAGTGGAAGCATTCATCTCCCACTCATCAGGATGTATAAGGAGAAAAAGTCAATAGAGTATAAAGTATGAAAAGCAGCAGAGATGGCAGGAATGTTCCCCTCTGCAAGTCCTGTCGCCTGCTCTGTTTAGGGCGACGTAAAGCATCGATTTACGGTTAAAAAAGATGAAATCTTACGGTCATCGAGCGACAAAAGTACAGGATATTCAAGAGGCTTGGCTGGTCCTGAAGCACACAGTCATCGCGGAGACATGTCCCGAGAACACGGATGGCACGTGATCCTGGGTGATGGCGTGTAGCAGGAGAGATGCCTGGCTGTGACTCTCGGCCTTAGTCGAGGCAGCGCGTGCGGCTCGGGCTCCGGCCCTCCGGAGGGACGCCTGGCTGTGACTCTCGGCCTTAGTCGAGGCAGCGCGTGCGGCTCGGGCTCCGGCCCTCCGGAGGGACGCCTGGCTGTGACTCTCATCATGGGGACTGATTTCAAAGCTAAAGGCTTCTAAAGCAAAACTGTGCCATTTGCTGCTGAGGACAAGGGCCATTTATAAGACCTGTAAGAAAGAGGGCAGCTTCTGTACAGCACATTAGCTGATAACCTGGAGCAGCACAGGGTCATTTATCACAAATGAAAGCCCAGCCTCTACAGGGATCCTGACCTCCTCCCCCATTAACCAGCAATCAGGTCCCGCTTTCAGGCTCAGATATAGTATGGGCTGGTTAGTAAAGACCTGGTAAAAGTGGTAACCCGGTAAAGTGGCCCATTTCTGGAACGCTCAGGCACTCGGGGTGGAGGTCCCCCTCCCCCGCTCGCTGCAGTGCACTGAAGAGCCCTGGCCGCTGACCTGAGCTGTGAAGCATATGGCCTCCCCCCCGCATGGGTGGGGGTCTGTGTGGCGGGGGCCATGCCAGCATTGGGAAGCTGGTCTGCAGCCCTCCCTGTGTCCCTTTGTCCCTGCATCCTCAAGCCCCTCCCTGCATCCACACGCCTCTCTGCGTCCCCATAGCCCCTGATGTGTGGGATGCGACGCGGCCGACTCAGGCTGCCCCCCTCAGCTTGATGACAGAGCTCTCTGCACACTTCGCATTGACTGCATAAATACTGCACAGCCACACTGTGCACTGACATAAACACACGCTCACAGTCAGCACTCTTTGACCAATCAGGCTGTGACAGACCTCTCATGCAGACAGCTTCGCTAGAGGACTAGTTTGTCTCGTTAACTGGAAGTTAGTGCTGTTCTTTGATCTTTCCTGGTCTTTTTTAACCTCTGGGCTTGGCTGCAATGGCTTTCTGCTCCACCTCAGGGCTCAGTAATGCGAGGCCTCCTACCAAGAGCCAGTGGACGTCGCACGTTTCATGAGGCCGGACCTCAGAGCTGCCTCACTGCCTCAGAGCTGCTTCACAGCATCAGAGCTGCCCCACTGATTCAGAGCTGCCTCACTGTCTCAGAGCTGGCCCACTGCCTCAGAGCTGCCTCACAGCCTCAGAGCTGCCTCACAGCCTCAGAGCTGGCTCACTGCCTCAGAGCTGCCTCACTGCCTCAGAGCTGCCTCACTGCCCTAGAGCGGGTCTGTGCAGACATAAGGCCTGCAGACGCAGTGTGACTGCGGCGAGGAGCCTGGCGGCACCTGGGACTCGGAACGTCCTTCATCATCCCTATTCTCGCTCCGAGGCCTGTCGTGTGTGGGTGTCACGTAACCACGACAGCTGTAGGAAACACGCACACGCGTGTACATGAGCACGAACACAAACTGTCAGTTCACACCCAAGTAGAGGCCTCGTTTACGCCCCCTTGATTAGCACGGCTGCCTCCTAACCTTGTCTGCTCTCCTGGTGCGATTAAAACAATAAAATGATCAAAGCAGCAGGCAGGACTAGCGTGCTGCTTTTTCTCATCTCACACTAAATGAGGGTCCCCCCCGGTGACTGAGGGATTAATATTCCAGGCAGCAAAAGCATTTCCATGGGAAGGGGACGGGGGGGCAGAAAACTTTTACGCAGAGGCACCGACAACAGGCAGCTATACAGACAGCAGGGTTACACAGACAGCAGGGTTACACAGACAGCAGGGTTACACAGACAGCAGGGTTACACAGACAGCAGGGTTACACAGACAGCAGCAATCGCTTTGGGCCAAAAGCAGGACATGAGGAAGCACAGGATCACAAACGGCGAGTTAACGGCGAGTTAACAGCGAGTACAGCCCCCCGTCCCCCAATCAATAATGAATTCTGTCAGTTCCCTGTATACACATCAGCATCATACAGGAGAACAGGAGTAGAGTCAACAGCATCACCATGGTAACGGTGCAGTGTAACAACTGACATTCCTCTGAAAAGTAGGTGAATAACAGTGGCCACTGGTGGATGTGACCTGTTTGGTAGGAAGCAGCGGTCCCAGTACTGCAGAGCAGATTGGGTCCGGTCGGGTCACTCGGGACTCACACAAGAGCATAACCAGAAAGAGCGAAAACCGCAGAACGACATCATGCAGGTGCCCGAGGCGGGGACGAGGCTGCCGTTAGGCACGTTACCGGCGTGTGAGACTCTGCCTTTATCCCCGCGCCTGCTGAGGAGCTCTCGTCCACTGAAGCGCGACCGGACTGCCGTTCTTGTGGTGACCTACGGCCGGGCTGCCCCTTGGTCCCGTGTCCGTATCCGCAGGAGCGGCAGTGAGCCACACGGAGGTGAAGGTAAACAAAGAAGCACTGCAGACACGGCGGAGCGCGTGCGTGTGTATGTGTGTGTGAGGGAGAGAGAGGGAGGGAGAAAGAGAGTGAGAGAGAGAGAGGAATAGGGAGAGAGAGGGAAACAGGGATCATCTGTTGACAGGAGGAGAGAGCCCGGCCAGCAGCAGCAGCAGCAGCGGGGCGGGGCAGTGGGGCAGCTGAGGCGGGAGCGACTCGCACTGGTGGGCTGCGGATGGGCACCGAGGGTCAATGCTGCCCTCCTGCGGGTCACTGTCTCTTTAAGGGCTTCTGGCCACACCCCTGCCCAGCTCACGGCTCATACATGGCCAGGGGGAAAACCCGGAGCCCGGATTTCCATCGGGATATGAAGTGGGAGCGGTGGATTTGGGGGTGGGGGGGGCGGAACTGCAGAAATTAGTGATTTCCCTGAGATGGGAGGGTTATGCGCTTTCATTACAGAAGTCACGTTCAGCGTGGTGCACACAGACAATGCAAAGCAAGCAGACACAAACCATAGGGATTCACTGCGGGGCTCATCAGCCCCAACACTGCCATTCCTCCTGCTCCTGTCTACATCACCTCCTTTAAGAGGGGAATCTGTGCTGGGTTAGGACATCAAACACAGCAGTATGAGGGGAGCAGGACGTCGTGAGACCTGCATGTGTGTTCCGGGTCCCGGTCTGGGTCCCGGTCCCGGTCCCGGTCCGGTTTCACTTAGCAGAGCCAGCTGATGGACGCATGAAGGCCAAGCTGTGGCAGCGATGGCCAGAGACAGACACGCAGCTAGACTGGTTCAGATGGACATCGATCGCCCAATTAAACCAGTTTCCATGAGCTGACCTCCCACTCGTGACTGGTGGGGTTATCCATCTCATGACATGCATTCCATGTTTTTTACGTCACGTACGGGAACCGTTCTGTGAGAGAAGCTCTTAAATACATTCAGATTTATAAACACTGACTTAAGACTACAGAGGAGAAACTGCTCAGAATGAATTTAGTAGCGAGACAGTTTAGATTTAGGGCAGGTTTCCAGAGGTCACACATGCCAACTGTATGTGTCATACAGTGTGAAGCCGCCCATCCACTTTCCACCTGCTATTCTTGGATACCTGAAGGTCATACTGTTCAATCCTCCCCTTAGACATAGTGACCATTTTCTGGAAGAAACAGGCTGACAGCTCCAGAGAACTTTGTTCAGTGCTGACGGTTTCATGTGCAAGGATCTGTTCTGTATTCGGAGCTGAACTTGACAGATATAACTGGATCAGAACCAGCGGATGCCGTCACAAAGCTGGCTGTGAGTCCGAGGGGCGGAGCGGGTCCGGGTACAGCCCGAAACACACCGAGGACCCTGTTGTGACTCAGCTCCGCTCTTGGGTCGGCTTTAGTCTTTATAAACAGCAGATGGCCGATTCGCGTCAGGAAGCAGAAGAAGGATGAAAACAGCAAAAAATGCGATGGGACCTGGGCTTCCATCCTCCGCGTGCTGGGGCAGCCATCTGTGGCCAGGATGCCAGGAGAACACAACCCAACCCAGAGAGGTCACATGATCGACCTCCACAGCTGCCATTGGTTGACCACCCTCATGGCTGCCACATCACCCCGTGACTCGGAGAGCAGGCGGCGTGCACGTTTACCCCGCTGAGCTGGTCCTGAATGTCCACTCCACTCCAGGAGGGGATGAGGAACAGCTTCACAACGGAGCTCGGACAGAGAAAGAGCGTCTCTGAAATGACGCCCTTTTCACTGGGACGGGCACTGTAAGCAAGCTGCCCGCTGCCGCCACAGTGCCCTTTAGTGAGAGAGACTGGGCTGGCATGCAGAGCCCTGTGACTGCTCAGGGAAACCCCGCAGGCCTCGCAGTGATGGATGGGCAAGGAGCTACCTGATGACTGCAGCCCAGGCGGGTAACTAGTTTGGTCTCAGAAAGCTGACACTGACACGGATCTCTAACTCCGCACTCCAGTATGATTAACACTCATGCAGTGTTACTGCTGCATGTACAAACATGTTTACAGTAACACTAAAGGCTTTGCATTTCTGAATTATTAGTATGATTAGATATTGCAATTTTGGGCATC